AAAAAAAAAAAAAAAAAAAAAAGGCAATTGTCAAGAAGACAGACTAGTGCTGGTGAAGATGTGGAATAAAAAGTACTTTCATCACTCTTAAGGGTATATCCAGAAGAGTCTAAAGCAACATACAGGAAAGATTCTAGCATACCCATGTTTAGTGTAGCACTTACAAAGCCATGGAATCAGTCTAGTTAGACAATAATTGAAATCAATTTATATAGAAAATGTATACATGATGTATACCTGTATACATGGTGGAGTAGTCAGTCACATGGAAAAATGAAATTTCATTTGTAGGAAAGTGCATGGGACTAGAGATGATCATGTTGATCAAGGAAAATTAAAATGAAAAGCATATATGGTTTGTTTTTGCTCATATATGGAATCTGAAATGGTAATGAGGAGACATGAGTATAGAGAACTGTCATGTATATGTTTTGTTTCTAAGCATAAAGGATATCCAACTTGTCATATATTTTAGATATACTGAATATTTGGTTCTTTTTAAATTTGAAGGTGTGCTCTGTCTAAACAGTGAACTCTGGTTGGATGTTTAATTTTCATATTTCCTTCCACAGCTTTATGGGGAATTTGCTGACCCATTTAAACTTGCAGAGTGTAAACTTGCAATAATTCATTGTGCTGGATATTCAGATCCCATATTGGTGCAGACACTTTGGCAAGATATCATAGAGAAAGGTAAGTGTTTAATTCTAGATCAATTAGCATATATTGTCTAGTGCCTTACTAGAAGAATATAAGTAACAGCTAATATTGCTAAGGCTTGTGAAAACTATGTCTTAGTAAAAATTAAGTGGAAGGCATCTGCGTTTAGTGGAGGGATGATTATACTAAAAGTAACTCCAGTGAATATTTAGGGGTACAAACCTTAAAACAATAGCAACATAAATATTTCACATTGAAAAATAATTGGTGATTTTACTAACATGTCTGTTTCTTACAGAACTGAATGATAGTGTAACATTGAGCTCACCAGATAGAATGCATGCTCTTAGTCTAAAGATTGTCCTCCTTGGCAAAATTTATGCTGGGACCCCTCGCTTCTTTCCTTTAGGTAAGTAGTGACCCAAGGTACAGACATGTTTTCTTTTCTGTTTTGAGAATTTGATATTTTTCTCCATTGAAAATTACTAATAATGGAGAGTTTTTTTTTAATTT